ATATGACACTATATTTCACATAAATTTTATATTGATGTTTCTAAATATTTTCTTTAATGTTGCAGATCAATCAGTTTTCACATATACATTTTGAATTTCAGCAAGGTTGATGAAAAATGAACTTTTGGCTGCTTCAATTGAGTGAATAAAACTAAATTATGATGGAAAAAATTTGAAAAATAAAAAAATCAAACAAACAGATTCTTGAGAAGAAAAAAACAATGAATCAATTGAAAAAATGCAATAGGGAACATCATCAGCATAACTGATCAAGAAGAAGTATCTGTGAACTTAAAAACAGGTCATTTCAAAATATTTCACTAGAGAAGAAAAGAATATTAAAAGAAATGAGAGAAGCTTATGAGATAAACAGGACAGCATCAAAAATGCAAACATTTGATTTACAGGAGTTTATGAAGAAGAGAAAGACAAAAAGGTAGAAAAATTATTTAAATAAGTAATGGCAGAAAACTTTCAAAATTTGGAAAAAGATGTAAACACCCAAGTACAGAAAGGTCAAAGGTTTCCAACTGAATTTAATCCAAACAAGTCTACAGCAAGACATATTATAATCAGAGTGTTAAAATTCAAGAATAAAGAAGGGATCCTGAAAGTAGCATAAGAAAAGAAGCCAGTAACATATAAGAGTTCCTATACGGCCAACAGCGTATTTTTCAGCAGAGACAAGTGAGTACAGAGTGAGATGATATATTCAAAGTGCTGATAAAAAAAACAACAAAAAACAAACAAACAAAAAACTTCCAGCCAAATATACTGTACCAGCAAATGCTGTCTTTCACATGTAAGTAAGAGATAAAGACATTCTGTAAGTAAACAAAAACTGGGGAAGTACATAAACACCAGACCTATTTTGAAGAAATGCTAACAGGAGTTCTTCAAACTGAAATAGAGGGATTTTAATTAGCATCACAAAAACATATGAAAGTTGGGCCGACCCTGTGGCTCACTCGGGAGAGTGCAGCGGCTGGGAGTGCAGTGGCGCTGGGGGCGCCGAGGCCGCAGGTTCAGATCCTATATAGGGATGGCCCGTGCACTCACTGGCTGAGCGTGGTGCGGGCAACACCAAGCCAAGGGTTGCAATCCCCTTACTGGTCACACACACACACACACACACACACACACACACACATACACACAAAAACATATGGAAGTCACTGGTAAAAGTAAGTATAGGTCAAATTTGGAATGCTCTAATAATACTTTAATGATAATGTGTAAATCACATTTTTTAGTATGAAGGTTTAAAGACAAAACTATTAAAAATAATAATAGCTACTATAAATTAAGGAATGCATAACATAAACATATGAAATTGTGATATCAAATTTAAAATTTGG